GGCCCGATTAAAACAACTCGTGGAAAAGCAACCCGTGGAAGAAAAAAAAAGTCAACGCACGATACAAAAAATACTGATAAATCATTAAACACGATAGACATATTTTCTAATACTCGAATCTTTTTCATTCCAAATAATATTGATAAGGTTCGTTTGAGATTATTGAAAGAAAAAGTAATTGAAAGAGGTGGTCAAGTGGTCGAAGCTGGGTTTAATGCTTCCGTAACACATGTGATCACTGCTTTGGAAAGTCAAAAGGCATTGGAAATTTTAGGAATTCGTTATGATAACATTCCTAAGGTATTTAATGAAACGTAATTTTTTCTTATTTAATCTTACAATCTTATCATATTACGTCATCATTAATTTTAAATGCAGAGTGCCGTTATGGTCGATCCTAATTGGATATCAGAATGCTTAATGGTAAGCAATAGATAATTTGCCGCATTTCGTAAATTAAAGACTTCCTCATTTATTCGCTTTTTTTTTAAATAAATAAATATAATTAGAGTGGAAAACTCGTAGATGTAAAGCCATACATTGCACAGACATCAGATGTAACAAACAACCAATCGTTAAAACAAGTCGACAAAAGAATTCATGACGATTTGACTGATGAAGATAGTGAAAATGAAAGGTATATTTTTGATATCTAGAAATGGTATTCATTTGGAATTCTAATATTAATTTTTCTTTTTTCAATGATTATTTTAAAAAGAAATAATCAACCAAAAAAAAAGAAGGGACAAGAATCCTTGCCTCCAACAATGCGATACCCTTATCCATCCTCAGGATCTTCGTCTGATACAATAATCGAAAATGATCCTTTATTGGAAATGATTGCAGAGAGCAAATCCCTTGCTGAAGCCGTAAGTTTATATGTGTTTTTTGTACTTTAAATTTACTTATTTTTAAAATGTGTTGTATTCAAAGGGTATTTTATTGGATGATGACGATGATTATTATAATGATGGTGATGATGGTGATGACGAGTCTCAAAGTATTAATATATCTGATTCAGATGGTGAAACAATTGCGCCGTTGACGCAAGATATTTATGGAAAAGGTTCGAATAATCCGAATCAATTTATAATCGATAAGGTCCGTAGCACAAAGAAAATTTATTATACAAAAACGCAACTATCATCGAGCTCACATTTAAAAATTCCGTTTTAAAATTACAGCTTAAAGCGTTATTGAATCATTATCAACGGATGAAAGATGAATGGCGAACTTTAAGTTACCGGAAAGCTATTACTGCGATTAAAAATCATAAAGAACCAATTACCTCTTATCAAGATGCTAAAAAAATTCATGGCATAGGATATCGCCTTGCTGAAAAGGTTTTTTTTTTTTTTTTTTTTTTTTTTTTTTATTATTATTTTTTATTATTTTTTTTTCTTGATTTATCAAAATAATTCTTTTATATTACAGATTGCCGAAATTATTAATACCGGAAATTTAAAACGATTGCAACATTTGTCAGAAGAACAAGAAGTGATTAAGAAATTTGGTGATATTTTTGGTATGTTTTCATGATCTAACATCGACTATTTTTTCCTAGTTCTAATCTTATTTGAAATATAATTAATAAAATAGGTGTAGGCTCATCCACTGCTATGAAATGGTACGCAAAAGGTTATAGAACTTTTGATGATATTCTTCAAAATGTCGAATTAACACACGCTCAACGTATTGGAATTGAATATTTTGATGTAAGTTTATAATTAATTATACTTTTTATAGGTTAAACATATTTTAAGTTAATTCATTTTAATAGGAACTCAATGAAAAAATTCCACGAGATGAAGTAACAGAAATCTCAAAACGCGTTGAAGAAGCTGCTCATCAGGCCGATCCTAATTTATTATGTATCACAGTTGGATCTTATATAAGAGGTCAACCTATCTGTGGTGACATTGATATTTTAGTAACTAAAAAAGGTTCAGATGAAAAAAAAGATATGGGTAAACTTAATTTTCTCAATATATTATTTATTACATATTATAATAATACAAAGTATGATGAATGTGGCTGATAATTTATTATTTTAAGGTGCCTTTTCAAAGTTGCTCAATATTTTACGCACACAAGGACTATTAACGCATGACCTCTCACAACGTCATGGTAAAAAAAAAACTCCTTCAAAATATTATGCAATATGTAGGTTGCCCGGTGGAAAACATCATCAGATAGGTAAAAATAAAGATAAAATTAAAGCTTCATAATTTTGACTTTTTAATTTGAAATGAGGAATGTTGATTATGATGTTTCTTCATAATTCTAGATTTTTTCGTTGTGTCATATAATGAATTAGGTGCGGCATTAATAGCATATACAGGTAACGAAGTATTTAATCGAAGTTTAAGATTACTCGCAAAGAAACAGGTAAATTATTCTGTTCATTAATTATTAAAATACGTTTTTTGAAAATTATATAATAAAATTCCCTTTTATATGCACAGAAAATGAACTTGAATCATCATGGTTTATATAAAAATGTCTCTCGGGACGGTATTACAAAATTAAATAAAGGTGTTTTAGTCGCTCAAAGAACCGAAAAGGAAATATTTGACGCGTTAGGAGTTTCATGGCGGTAAATATGGACGCGTTAAACGTTTATTCAAAATAATATATTCATATATTTATTTATTTTCTATTGTATTTATATAGCCCGCCAACCGAACGAAATTATTAGATTTATTAAATGCTATATAATCAACCCCATATTCTAAATTAAATAATGAAGATAAATAGCACTTAAAATAACACGCTTCATGGAGAAAAGG